GGGGCGCGCCTCAGACAGATTGCTGTTGCAGTGGAGGCGCGTCTGGGAGGAACCCGCTCATGGTATTTTGGATGGCTGGTTCCTCCCCACCCATAAGCCACCAGCCCGGATGAGCCTTCCATTCCTTTCCGATCTCCACGCTGGGATCGAGAGGGTATGGAAGAATCCGTTCTCCTCACGTCTCTATCTGCATCAGCGGGCTAGTTTCGCTGCTGTGGAGGGAGCCGTGGAGAACGGATAAGTGTCGAGGCCGCCAGTGGACAAGACGTTGGCTAACTATCTCGTCTCTGGTTGGTCCTCTTCACTAAGAGCTCTGACCCTGCCATCCAAGCTGCTCAAGACATCTTCATGCTTGAATGACAGAGCGTACACGGCAGCAGGTCAGGCAGGTGCGGTTCTGCACGCCCTTGTGGTCCTCAGGCCTACCAGGCCGATCTGCTGCAGGACTCCGGGCCACCAAGCAATCTGCTGTTCTGTCGGTGCTATGGTGGCCACAGAGAGACATCTGTGGGATCTCCCACATACTGTGGTTGCCAGGTTACAGGCCTCACTAGGCCTTCCTGGTTATGAGCTCCCACACATTGTGGTCGCTACGTTACAGGACTCAAAGGGGCCTTCCTGGTTATAGTTCCCACATACTGTGGTTGCCGGGTTACAGGCCTCACCAGGCCTTCCTGGTTATGAGCTCCCACTTATTGTGGTCGCCAGGTTACAGGCCTCACCAGGCCTTCCTGGTTATGAGCTCCCACATGCTGTGGTCGCTGGGTTACAGGCTTCACCAGGCCTTCCTGGTTATGAGCTCCCACATACTGTGGTTACCAGGATACGAGCTCTCACATACTGTGGTCGCCAGGTTAAAGGCCTCACCAGGCCTTCCTGGTTATGAGCTCCCACACATTGTGGTCACCAGGTTACAGGCCTCACCAGGCCTTCCTGGTTATGAGCTCCCACACATTGTGGTCGCCAGGTTACAGGCCTCACCAGGCCTTCCTGGTTATGAGCTCCCACACATTGTGGTCGCTAGGTTACAGGCCTCAAAGGGGCCTTCCTGGTTATGAGTTCCCACATACTGTGGTGGTCAGGTTATAGGCCTCACCAGGCCTTCCTGGTGATGAGCTCCCACACATTGTGGTTGCTAGGTTACAGGCCTCAAAGGGGCCTTCCTGGTTATGAGTTCCCACATACTGTGGTAGTCAGTTTACAGGCCTCACCCAGCCTTCCTGAATGTGGGCTCCCACATGATGCGGTAGCCAGACTACAGCCTCACCACCTTCCCTGAGCACTTTGCTTCCACTCTGTGGTCACCAGGCTTCAGGCTTCATTGGCCTTCCTGGTTGTGAGTTGTCACATGTCAGGTTGCAGGCTTCACCAGGCCTTCCTGAATGGGAAACCCCCACTTTTCGTGGTCGCTAAGTTGTAATGGTGAGTCTTCACATGTCAGGCTGCAGGCCTCAGCGGCCTTCCTGAATGTGAGCTCCCCATGCATTGGGACTATCGGGTGATAGGCCTTGTCAGGCCTTCCTGATTATGGGTTCCCACTTGTTGTGGCTGCCAGGTTACAGGCCTCAAGTTCGGCCTTCCCGAATTCAGAGTGAAGTACACTAACCCCTACTTCACCTATTATTGTGGTAAATCACATGACGGGATGTCTTGTGTACTTTCTAAAATCCATTTTGTATGGTAAGGGTCACGCGTGGTATGCTTCGGTCCCTTCTTATGTGGCTCAGACCCCGGTCTTCCCTTGGGTCCCACTTTAAGAGGCGTCCTGTCACTGGCTACAGGGACGCCCTTCTCTGGCTAACTCCTGGAAGAAGTAGCTTCCACTTGGTGAAGTAAGCTCCCACAGGTTGTGGTCACCAGGCTGGGTCTCACTGACCTTCCTGAGTACGAGCCCCCACCCAATGTGGTCACCAGGTTACAGGCCTTACCAGGCCTTCCTGGTCATGAGCTCCCACACACTGTGGTCGCCAGGTTACAGGCCTCAACAGGCCTTCCTGGTTATGAGCTCCCACATATTGTGGTTGCTGGGTTACAGGCCTCACCAGGCCTTCCTGAATTCAGAGTGAAGTACACAAACCCATACTTCACCTATTATTGTGGTAAGTCACCCGACGAGATGTCTTGTGCACTTTTTAAAATCCATTTCTTATGGTGAGGGTCAAGCGCAGTATGCTTCGGTCCCTTCTTATGTGGCTCAGACCCCGGTCTTTCCTCGGGTCCCACTTTAAGAGTTCTTAAGAGCTAACTTCTGGAAGTAGCTCCCACTTGGTGTGGTTTTTCAGGTACACCAGGCTGGGTCTCACTGACCTTCCTGAGTACGAGCTCCCACCGGATGTGGTCGCCAGGTTACAGGCCTCACTAGGCCTTCCTGGTTATGAGCTCCCACATACTGTGGTCGCCAGGTTACAAGCTCCCGCATACTGTGGTCGCCAGGTTACAGGCCTTAGCAGGCCTTCCTGGCCTTGGGCTCCCACACACTGTGGACGCCAGGTTACAGGCCTCAACAGGCCTTCCTGAATTCAGAGTGAAGTACACAAACCCATACTTTACCTATTATTGTGGTAAGTCACCCGACGAGATGTCTTGTGCAGTTTTTAAAATCCATTTCATATGGTGAGGGTCACGCGCGGTATGCTTCGGTCTCTTCTTATGTGGTTCAGACTGCGGTTCTTCACTTTGGGTCCCACTGTAGATGTGTCCTTGTCGCAATACATTACGACAGGCACTTCCCTTGTTCAAGCTATCTCCCACAACTGTGGTTTTAGGTCTGATTAGACCTTTTTTGAGGTAGCCCCACATTGTGGGTCTGTCAGGTTTCTAGCCTCTGGCTTTCCTGAAGGATGAGCTTCCACATGCTGTGGTCGTTAGGTTTCAGGCCGCACAATGTGCGGCCTTCCTGACATGAGCCCTCATGTTTCAGAGCTCCCTACACAGAGGGTCATCAGGTCTTAGGTCTCATTGACCCTCCTGATTTTGATCCCTCTCTTACTTCCTCAGTGCTCAAAAGCGAGCACTGGGTGGAAACTTGTGGATTGAGTGTACGATTCCCGTTGTTTTGAGGTTGAGTCACACTCTCCGGAGGATCCCGTCTCTGTGATACGAAACTCGATGGTTTCTGCCAGCTTCGCGGGCAATTTCCAGAGGCTCTGTCTTGGACGGACAGGCTATGGCCAGACTGTGTGTCTTAGTACAGATCACCAGGCCAGCCTGGGGGCATTTCAGGAGGAGTGTTCTCCTGAATAGTGACTGGCTGGGGGTCCCTTTGGCCCCCTAGCCACACTCCCTAGAAGGGACCCCTTCTATTTTGAAGTTGTGGTCCTAAAGCCTTTGAGCTGGCCCAGATTTACCCACGTTATTACGTTCTGGTTTTTCTTGGTTCATTAGCTTGGGCTATGACCGGTAGGGAGTGCTGTCACTGACAGCCCGATGTAACATAGGGTGAGTGGTTTCAGTGTTCCTTGGAATTACTGGTTCTGACAGTTGTCACTGCCTTTTCGGCATGCACTCCCCTCAGCATGGCGGAGTGGGTATTTCGTTCCCCATTGCGTCATTCGACGTATTGTTGAGTTCCCTTCGAAAGGGAACGTCTCAGGTTACGACTGTAACCTATGTTCCCTGAGAACAGGGAATGAGACAATACGTCTCGTTGCCATGCCTCGGGGCCTGCCTGCAACAGTCCCTTCAGACGATAGGATGTTGTCACGGTTTCAAGGCGCCCTTCTTATACATCCAGATTGACGCGCTCATCATTCAAGCTGATGATGCACGGGCTGTCGCTGGTCAACCTGATTACTGTGAGTTGATATTTGATTTCAGACACCCGTCACGCCTGAGGCGTTCCCCATTGCGTCATTCGACGTATTGTCTCGTTCCCTGTTCTCAGGGAACATAGGTTACAGTCGTAACCTGAGACGTTTTTCACCATTGCTATTTTACAGATTTTTTTGGGCTGGGCTAAGACAGGGCTCGATGACGCACTGGAGCCCCTGAGCTCATGGACACGCCCCTACTTGATGAAGCACTGAGGCCAGGCTGATCTCTCCCCTAACAATTGAGCACATTCACATGATCGCATCAGTTCGGCGCTCAATCGCGAGTTCTTGTCAGTACTATTAGTTACTACAGCCTACAGTTTGCTAGCTTGCTATGCCTTCAACACGGAAATGCATAGGCTACAACCTGGATGTGATCATGTACAAAACAGATAGGTGTCTTTATTTAAAATTCCTAAAAACAATCACATCAAGAAGAGATGCATTAATTTTGTGTAGAGCCAACCTTGATGAAGAGCTGAGGATCACCGCCAACACCCGCCTCTGTAGTGATCATTTTACACAGGATCGTTTTATAAACTTTCCTCAGAGACAACTGGGATTCACTGATAATCCGCTGTTACTGGTGAACGGGGTCAAAACGACTATCTCCCGCCTCAGCGTTCATCCTCCTGTCCCGAGAGCAGTATCACCTAATATCACCGTAGACAGCTTTCCCGCTAGTGGGCGTGGCTTCTGTACAGCCAGCGGACACGCCCCCAACATTTGAGAACAGAGATAACGGCTCGTTTTATCAAAATTTTGATAGCTTATTTTATGTACTCACCGGCTTTTTTAACATTCAAATTTGGCTGGGTGGCTAATAACACATTTTTCTGTGGTGTGACAAACTCAGAACACATACTTAATTTTGACTTTACAGGGACTTTGTGTGTTTATAAATATTATGATGAAAGTGTACTTTCTTTAAGTAAAACTTAATTAGATATTATTACAAAGTGCATTTTAAAAGTTAAGAACACAAAAAATGCTTTCAATACAATTCAGCACACTTCTTTTTTACACAGGATATCAGTGTTATGCATGCATGCATGTCCCTGTTAGCTGGGACCAAACCCCCAAGTTTCTCCAGGTTACCACGGCTTCCTATAGTAAATGTGATAAAGGCTTGAAGAGCAATGAAAGTGCATGTTCGTGTGTGACCGTGCTGGTGTTGCTGTGTTTCAGAGGATCAGCTGCCCGCAGGTTTCCCCACCATAGACATGGGCCCTCAGCTCAAGGTGGTTGAGCGCACCCGTACCGCCACCATGCTCTGTGCTGCTAGCGGGAACCCCGACCCAGACATTTCCTGGTTCAAAGACTTCCTCCCGGTTAACACGAGTAACAACAACGGACGCATCAAACAACTTCGATCAGGTAATTTTCCTCTGAGCGCTTGGCTCCACAACAGCAGAAGAAAAACAGCGACAAGAGCCGCTGTTGTCGTCCTTTACATTTGACATTCTGTTCTTTCTCATGGAAAATTTTTTGGTTTTCTGTAGGAAACGGCATCGTCGTCTACGTCCCCTCTGTGTGATGTGTCTTGTTTTCTTGTCTGTTTAATTTATTACCCATGATTCACTGCTATGACTGCATTCTTGGCCAGCTTAAATTGGGCTTTGTTTTGTTTCCATTTTAACACTTAGTCGCAAAAAGCAGCCGAACCATGCATAATAAATAACTGTAGTACTCCATGTTCTTATTTCTCTTCCTCAAATGCGCAATTAGTACAATCTGGCTTCATTCACTGCTCTCAAAAGAATCATCAAGGTTGTTTTGTTTGTTGCTTTCATGTCATGATGCACATGTACCAACAGCCTAAAAACTCTATTACATCCAAAAACGGAAAAAAAAGAAAAAAAAGAGAGACGTCCGTCCCCATGTGTGTGACTTTTGTTGTGTGTTTGTACATCCAATTGACCAAATTCAGGGCTGAAAATGTTGGTGATTCTTTTCCGTTGAATTGGGAGCCGCAGTAGACGTTCCTTCTCTTCGCCTGCGGTCTCTCTCGTAATACTCCCCACAACCCTATTTCGTTTTGCAATTGACGCACATTGTGAATATTTAATTGTTGAGTTGAATACGATGTGTTTTCCAGCACTCAATATGGTACAATATGTCTTCCCAGAGTTCTCCGCTTTTCCCTTGTCCTGTTTTCTTTCGTTGTCTGATTTCTCTCTTGATTTTCCTAGTCGTTTATAACCCTGTGCAATAGAGTGTCAGATTTAAGTGTGTCAACAAGAGTAAACGTAAGGAATATAATCATATTTTCTATGCTGTCTTTCTTCTCTCTGTTTTGTAAATCTCCAGAGTCATTTGGTAAGTTTGTAGATCTGAGCACACATGCCTCCCACTAATGTTCCATGTTTCTCAAACTACTGTTAAAATGCATGGCATGCATTTTACTAACGGTGTCGATAAACACTAGTTGACTAGCAGTAAAACACACACCAACACGAGCAGCTGGTCAGGGCCACGCACCGACACGGTCACTCCATCTTTGTCTCAAATCACAGCTCAAAGACTCTCCACTGCTCCCAATCAATCCTTAGTTCCCCTCCCGCTAGATCACGGCCACAGCAGGTCTCAAAATGGCCCCTTGTGCTTCATCCACTGTACCAGTTGCTCTTTGACCTCCTAAAGTGACCAATGCTCAATCCTGTGCTTTTCTCCACTAGAGCCAATGGCTGTCTTTTCTGAGTCTCTCTTTCCTGTTGTAGCCTAATAAAGTCTGTAAGAAAGCAAAGCAAAGCTAATTTGATTCTTCTTCCAAAGCGGCCAGACTCTCTTCTCGTACTAACGACTCTTCTTTCTTAATCTTATTTGCATTCATATAATCCACCCAGGTGGTACGCCAATAAGAGGTAAGAGTGCTCAACTCAAGTTCACAGAATGAACAACTGACTTCATTCTTCCTGTCCCACATGTGTCTGCATCCATGAAACGCCCCAGCATCTTCCCCATTGTCCTCCTCCCCCACCATCCCGTTCTGTTCACACCACCCATCTATCACCATTTTTGCGTAAGCGTTCTTTCTTTCTTTCGTTTTTTTTTTTTTTCAGTTTAAGAAAGCCTCTTGTATTTTTTCTCTCTTCCGAGTCGATATGCTTACTGCAGCCCAAAGAAGCATATCATATATGTGTTCTATTTCATTATTTTATTATTATTATTATTTTATCTTTTGGCCATAGCAGATCATGTGTCCCTTTTTTTCGTCCAACTAAAACAGCCAAACACATTTTTCCCCCCTTAGCTGTTCTTGTTCAGCCGCACATGAGCCCAGATGTCGGAGACACACCGGAGACCTCTCTGCCATAAATTTTTCTCCCAAAAAAGCATCTTTCTGTCTTTACAAACTTCTTTTTTTGCTCTTCGTCCTCCATTTGCTTTCCTCTACCTATACCCTTCTCAAAACAATCTAAAAAAGCCCAAACAACTACTTTTTTGATAAAGTTTCTGCGGTGCTTTTTTTCTTCTTCCACCTATTTTTCCTTCTTGCATTTCTTGGGTTGAAAGGCTGTTTTGCTTTTTGACATTTTTATTTTTTCCATTCTTCAGGGTTGGGGAAAAGCTAACAGTGGGTCTGGCAGACGATACCGAGGTGGCCATTTTGTGTCATTTTTTTTTTTTTTTTTTTTTTTTGTCAAGCTACTCAGGAGGCGGTCCGCTGCGGTTCAGTGCACTTTAAAAAATGTTTTTCCCTGGGTCATGTGACACCACACTGCTGATCCCATTGGTGGATTTTTATGGGTGTCATTTGTAGCTTTGCGTAAGCTATGGCAGTGATTGGTTGTTTTCTTGTCGGCGGAGGCCGTTTTGAATTTTCTAATACAACTGCATTTTATTTTTCAGCTAAGGGTTGTCAAAAGGTTGTAAGTTGTGCCGACACACATTTCTTGTTCTTTGGAAAGATTTGCATGTGCTAGAGGTTTATGTACTGGTAACGATAATTCTCCCAACAGATTTTTTTTCTTCTTCTATTTTTTACGATTCAAGCAGCGTATTTTTTTTCCTGAGAATGCTGCAGTTTTTGCTGACTTCCACCCTCTGAAGTCTTTGGCCATTTTATTGACGGATCAATTCGAATTGAATTTAACCAAATTTTATTAGCCAAATTTCTTTTTTAACCCCCTTTTATGCTGCTTTTGTATACTGTAAACCTTTTTTATTTGAGTCATATGCTGCTGTATTGCAGTTTTCACTCATTCCCATAATGAACAGTCCTGTGAGATGTGTAATAATATTGCAGGGCTATCCTCCCCCCCTCACCTTTTGTATAGCTTTCAATTGATAATCGTTCAGTATTATTATTATTGACTATCACAACTGTTTTTTTTTTCTAAACAGTAATGCTCAAACTATTTTGAAACACCCTATCAATTAAGTGCCTTTAGAAACCCTGCAACATGTATCTTGTACTGTATGTTTACCTCTCCATTGATGTGATTGTAAAATGTCCAAGATAATTAATGCTGCAAAGTCTCTTTTTGTTTTCTTTCTGTGTACCCTCTCAAATGTCTACGGCAGTGTTTGCCATGCTATTCTCTATACCTGTTTCCTAGTGTAACTGCTGCAAGTTAGTTTGTAGGGTGAGATACTAGCTCACAAGACAGTTCGATTTAAGCACCTCAAAATTACTCCGTTCCTGACAAAATCATAATATGCATCGCGAATCCAGCGTGAAATCCATCTTTAGTGCTGAAATTGCTTTCCCATGATGCATCGGGCCTAGAGAATTAAATACTGCATTAGACATTTTAAGTGGAAACATTTCTACCCCCAGCTTCCAGGAGCTTAGCTTGCATAAACTGGTTAAGTCTATACGAACCTCTCCAATGCGAGGCATGCCTGCAGATGTCGCTTCTCAGGGTTAAACATCAGTATAGCAGCAGTCAGATGGCAGTGAACTGGCTTTAGCTAAAGTCATTCTGTTGCGTCCACCCTTATGGAGACCTAAACAGAAAAATTCCAATTCATAGTGAGAGAAATAGGCTTAGCATGTGATCTAGTGTAAGTTGTTTAATGGCTTGTATTATTATTGTAATTATCTGTTTTCTGCTTCGTGTTCTCTCCCACTGTGTAGGAGCACTGCAAATTGAACAAAGTGAGGAATCGGACCAAGGGAAGTACGAATGTGTCGCAACCAACAACGATGGGACACGCTATTCTGCACCTGCTAACCTGTATGTCAGAGGTAGGAAGCTCATAGCGGTAAACAAAACCAACAAAAGAGCATTACTCTAGACGCACACATATTTGAATCAAATAGCCAGTTAGCTGGTCAGATTTGTTGTTTGGATCCCTCTGGTTTCCTGAGAATTTTTGCAAGTGTGACATTTGCTGCCACCTTGATTTTCTGCCTGTCTGGTGTTTAATTTCGCTTTAACCTTTATTGACTCGACTGCTTGTTGTGTATGTTATAACTGACTCTACTTATAGCAGGGATGGTTGATTGAGTTTAACCTCTTTCCTTTCTACAGCAAATGTCTGACCACTGTTTCTCATCTCTCTTTATACTGGCAAATGGAATAAATCTATTTTCATTTATTTTGAAACAAAATAAGAGTTTCCTTTCAAGAGAACTTTGAGCTTCATCAAATGCTGTGGGAACGCCCCTGCGTTGTGTATCATGAAGCACGTATGAAATCAGCCCAATGGAGAGACGGAACATCATAGGCGGGTGACGTCATCGACCAGGAAACTATAAAGCACCCCAAAAACACAAACGCATCAGCTTCTGTGCCTTCAGTCGCGCTATATGTGAATCTGTCTGAGTGTAAACACTGTGTCTGTCTTTAGTATATGCTAGGCAGGAGTTATCACATTTACACCACACAAACAATTTTGTATGAGAGACTATGTCGGGCGAACAGCATATAAGATGTGTATTTCTTTGAGCGCTCTTTGAGGTGAGTGCTCGGTGCACGCTCCCTGTGGTTCCTGCCGAGGCTGAGCGGCGACTCTTGGATGGAGCAGCGATGGATCTTTCAGTGGGGTTAGAGACAGGCTCTGCCTTGTCTCTGCCTTTACCTGTTAGATCCAGTGTCTCAGCCCGGTTTGGAAGCATTCTCTGCGGTTTCTTCCGCCTGGGTTGTGGCACCATTACTGCAACTAAGTTAGTTATAAAAACTGAGGAGATAAAAATAGCAGTATTGACGAGGGAGATGTGGAGGACTCGCCACTTCACACTCCCGAAGGTGAAGAGCTCATGGAGGTTCTCACTCAAGCTGCATCAAAACTAAGCATTGAGTGGCCAGTGGCAGGAGTCTGTTATTAAATCTAAGTTAAAATTGTAAAATGGTAAATGGACTGCATTTATATAGCGCCTTCATAGACCTAATGGCCACCAAAGCGCTTTACATTTGCCTCACATTCACCCATTCATACACCGACGGCAGTGTCAGCCATGCAAGGCGCCAGCCAGCTCGTCGGGAGCAGTTGGGGTTAGGTGTCTTGCTCATGGAAACCTCGACACTTGGTCAGGTGGAACCGAGGATTGAACCACCATCCTTTCGGTTCGTAGACAACCCACATGAACCACTGAGCCACTGCCGCCCCCTGATGAAAGTTAGATGAAAGATTTCTCCCTTTTTGTGTGCAATCTCCACACCGGTGCTTGTAGTTTTTTTTTTTTTTTTATGATCTCCATACTGGGGTGTCCCAGATTATGGAAGAAGCCGGCTTCTGATATAATTTTTAGCCCCCAATAATTCACATATTACGATTTAGCGGGGGCTACGTTTTTTTAAAAAGAAAAGACGCCGCTTTGCCGTGGATAGAAGAGATGCTTGCGAGCTATCTCTCTTCCGAGGCTGCATTGTCATTTAAAGCACCAGCATTACCTTCCAAGCCGTTATGAAATATTTCGGCTTTGTAAAGTATATTCGGCGGTAGGAATTCATGGAATGTATTCGTGTCTGCATACAATATCTATATTGCAGGCATACCAGGCTGATTTGCTAAAGGACATGAGCATGATTGAGGATGCAGTACTGACGTGGTTCGAGAAATGCGGCAGGCTGCCGTTTTATGGTAAAATTAATTTTTCCAATATGAAAAAGAAAGAAAAAGCTTTCTTCTAGATGCTCCTCTCTCCCCTGCTGGACAGTGGGACCAGACGCGGCACTCTCAGCCAAAGCTTTTTGAAAAAGATAAAAAAAATATATAATAGAACTGATTTGGGGACAGTTATGGGCGGTCCCCACCGAGGGAGAAAGGTGTTTACCTCTTTTTACGGTGCCCATTCTTCTTCGGTGCCCTCAGGGGCCCGTTCTGCCAACCCCGCCTTCATGCCGGGGCGCAGACAGTCCCAGCGAGCGCTTTCCCGAGGGAAGCTTGCCCCCTCTGACACTGAGGGTGGTCCCCACCGAGGAAGGAAGGTATTCACCTCTTTTTATGGTGCCCATTCTTCCTCTGTGCCCTCAGGGGCCCACTCTGCCAACCCCAACCTCATGCCGGGTGTAGACGATCCCAGCAAGTGCTTTCCCGAGGGACGCTCGTGCCCTCTGAGGACGGTCTCAGAGCAGTCAAACCAGTTGTTCCCTGCCAGTGTGCCGTTAGAGGGCGCTGTGTTTGCTGCTCAAATTACACCAGAGGCCAGTCTCGAGAGAATGGTACCCTTAGTAGAATTTTTTTTGGCAAAGTGGAAAGAAGCCTTGAAAGAATATCTCAAAGGGTCCTGCAGACAGTAGTTAGAGGTTATGCGATCCAATTTAGGTGTCGTCCACCAAAACTCAGAGGGGTTCTGCCCACAGTGTGGGCCCCGAGCAGGCTCTGGTAATAAAACAAGGGGTGAAAACGCTCATTCAAAAGGGGGCTATAGAACGGGTTCCTCCTCCCAGTTTGGAGCTAGGTTATTACAGCCGATATTTCATCGTTCCAAAGAAGGATGGGGGGTTGCGTCCAATTTTAGATTTGCACCTATAAAATCACTCGGAAGGGAAGCTCAATTCAAGACGCTCACTATCAAGCAGGTCGTGTCACAAATTTTTCCATGATAGATCTAAAGGATGCTTACATCCACATTTCCATCCTTCCACAACACAGGAAGTTCCTGAGGTTTGCTTTCAGGGGAGAGGCATTCCAATATAGGGTTCTTCCGTTCGGTCTAGCTATCTCCCCGTACTTTTACGGAGCAGATGGCGGTTAGACATCGAGATGTCTTCCTCGCGCATATCAGAAAGTTGGGGTTGAGGCTGAACGAGAAGAAAAGTGTTTATCTTCTTGGAGACCACTTTTCTGGTCGTCGTTGTCTATTGTACATGAAACCACTGTGGTGGTGGCTCAGGACCAAGGGATTCTCCCCGAGGGGAAATCCACTCTGCACGATTAAAGTCACGCGGCGCTGCCTTTGTGCTCTGGTCTTGTGGAAAGAAATTTGGTTCCTATCCAAAGATCCTGTGCTGGGGGCTCTTAATGACGGATGCTTCCCTCACAGGGTGGGGGGCGGTCATGAGTGGTCGTCCAGCCCGGGGTCTGGGGTAGGACCATCATCTATCATGGCATATAAATTGTCTAGAGATGTTGGCAGTGTTCCTTGCAGACCTGAGAGATCATTATGTGCATCACGTCGGTGGTCTCTTATATAAATCATCAGGGGGCCTGCGGTCACGCCGGCTTTACATGTTGGCCCGTCAGGTCCTCCTGTGGTCCCTAGAGAAGTTACTATCACTGAGAGCAATGCATCTTCCTGGGTAAATGTGGTAGCAGACTCCCTGTCAAGGCAGGGGCCGAGGCCAGGGGAATGGAGACTCCACCCCCTAGGTGGTGGAGCTCCTTTGGTTGAGTTTCAGTCACGCAGAGGCGGACCTATTCGCTTCCATGGAGATATCGCACTGTCGTCTGTGGTTCTCCGTCAGTCAACCAGGGTTGGAGGCTATGGTGCAGCCATGACTGAGGTCACGTCTGTGCACTTTTTCCCCTGATTGCTCTGCTACCAGGAGTTCTGGAGAGGGTTCGCCCGGACGGGTTCAGCCTACTATTAGTAGCCCCATTCTGGCCGGCTCGAGTATGGTTTGCGGACCTGGTTTCTCTGGTTTCTCCCCGTCAGGAGGGATCTACTCTCTCAGGTGGGCGGCATTATATTTCACCCCCGCCCAGAGTTATGAAAACTGTGGGCTTATTCCAGTCTCTCAACCGAGGTTGTTGAGACCATCCTTCACTCCAGAGCTCCATCCACGAGGAAGCTATATGCCTTGAAGTGAAAACATTTCACATCTTGGTGTGGAGAACACCTGCTAGACCCAGTTAACTGCCCAGAGGGTACAGTGCTGGAATTCCTGCACATTTCTCCACAGGGTTATCCCCTTCCACACTAAAGGTGTATGTGGTGGCACTGGCTGCTTACCACATCCCTTTCAGTGGAGTTTCTCTTGGGAGACACCCGCTTATAACTCGTTTCCTTCGTGGCACTTTGAGGCTGAGGCCAGCAGTTCGTACGTGGGTGTCGACCTGGGATCTGGCCATTGTATTAGAAGGTCTTTCCCTAGATCCTTTCGAACCTATCGAAGAAGTTCCTGAGAAGTTTCTCACTCTGAAGTCACAGAGAGCCTCAAAATCACTTTCCAGAACATTCTCATTCACGGTACCATGCTGGTGGAATGATCTTCCCACCTGCATTCGGAAAGCATTTAAAACGCAACTAAAAACTCTTCTCTTCTTCTAAAAATGTTTCCTTGAGTGATGTTTGTGATGCGGCTGGATGGTCTTCACTGCATATTTTCATGAAGTTCTATGACCTAGACTTAAGCTCTACCCCTGGGGCACAGGTGCTCTCGTCCTCTGTGCACTAGTTCTCACATGGCGGTCACTTGGTCCTATGGCGACGTGGATATTCGCGTTCCCACAGCGTTTGGTGTAGCTCGAAGTTCCATTGAAAGGGAACGTCTCGGTTACATATATAACCCTAGTTCCCTGATAGAGAACGAGACGCTGCGTCGTACCGCCATACTCCCGGCATTCCCGTTAGTGCTTCCTTCAGGCGTATCTAAAGCTCATATGCTTACGTTTTTGGGGTGCTTTATAATTTCCTGGTCGATGACGTCACCTGCCTATGACGTTCCGTCTCTCCATTGGGCTGATTCCATACATGCTTCATGACGCACAACACAGGGGCGTTCCCACAGCGTTTGTTGCAGCGTCTCCTTCCCTATTAGGGAACTAGGGTTGCATACGTAACTGAGACGTTTTATGTTGTTATTTTATCATTTTATTTTTGTAAACATTTTCAAATATTAGTGCAATCTTTAATCTGGATATTGTATGTCGTAGTCTAATGTAGTCTAAAATACTTTAATTTAATGTGTATGGGTGATTCTTCAATTAAGTGAAATCTTCTGTTCCCTTGGTATGGATGATTGAATGCATAAATACAATGTTCATTAAAAACAAACATAAAAACAAATAATTTTGTTTTAAAGTACAGACTATCAGCATTAAATGGTTTAATTAAGTTACAGGATAATTACCTAATACCTAATGTGGTTATCCAGGAAATGAAAAATTACATTTTGTAATGTCATTCATTTTAAGATTTTTACATCATGGTTTGAGAGTATCTTGATCTAATTGGAGATATAACTTCTAATTTAATTTAAGAAGGTCCACTAACTAAAGAATCACTCCAGTGTATACATATAATATATAATATATCGTGCATATGCCCTTATGTGCATTCTTTAGTTCAAGTTTATATCTTTATAATCTGACAGTAAAGTCAACATGAAACTGCATTCTAAACCCATTTTACTTTATTTATTTTATTTAGGAATTGATTTAAGATAAAAAAATAAAATAAAAAAATAAGTGTGACTGGTCACTGTAAGTCAACAGCCACCCTGTACACCACTAAATAATTCATATTGATCAGAAAACAGGGTGCTTTTGATTTCATGTTGACTTTAACCCCAAATTTATCACAATCAGCTGCCAAAATATGTTCCATCTTATTAACCTTAAAGGCCAGATGTCTACTACTAGTTTAAGGAGTGTGGCTAAATTCATGCACAGGTGTCAGTCATGTGGTTTATATGAGGAACCAAAAAATATATATGTAAATTATGAACAAAATTCCAGAGGAAAGTTAGTCCAAACTGCTGCACAGTAACTGCTGATGGCATGTAAAACTCATAACTGGACCTGTGCCATATTGTTTAATGGGCAGCGCATTGAAAGGCCTGTAAAATACAGCACAATTTTCTTTTCCTAGACATTCTGTCTCTAGCAGCAATTCTCTAGGTTGAATGTGGCCTGTTTTACTCTCTCTGTATTTTCCCTTGTTTTTTCTCCTCATTTTACTTTGTTTCCGCATCAATTCCCTACATCCCTCAGAGCTGCGAGAAGGTTGGTGTGTTTTTTCTTTCTAACCATCTTCAAACTTAAAAAAAAAAAATAAAAACACGATACAAACGCTAGTTACAATTGCCAACAGTACGATTTTTTACAATTTTTTTATTGTAGCTGCATTTGCGTGTCTATGATCAAATTCTGCTTTTGGTTCCTTATGTTTTATGTCTTGGACAGTTTCCTCTTCATTTCCTTTTGTTATGGTCTGAATGAATTCCTTTTTCTCCGCTGTACTGCTTGACCAAAAAGTGGTGCATGTTGGTCAGAATGTGCACAGTTTGTTGGGGGGTTTGCATGGTGCATTGGTCATGCTAAAGTTGTCTGTCCTCACCCACATGTCAGTGGTCCTGCTTCATTACTTTGACCGACTTATCCCTTACTAACACCTAGAAAAAAACCTCCATTCTCTGACCTTGCACGGTACAAAATGCAATGAGACATGCTCCGTAGGTCTGTGAGATCAGATATTTTCTTTCCTTTCCACCTAATGAGCTGATAATAAAGGACAATTGATGCATGTAGAGCGTTGTTCTCAAGACTCGACAAATGGAACGGTATTCAGATGAAAGGAAAAACATCATGTCTCCTGGAACAGCGTTTCAATTGGAAATTAATTGCGATAGGATTGAAAATCTGTTCGCAATAATTAGAGATTTCATCTCCAGAGAAGCGCGACATCTCCGGTCGAATGCATACCACCAGTCACTGAAATTCTCATCTTTCCTTCTTTTTCTTCCATTTCTGGTGGTTTATCGCAGAGACTTAAATAGACGCCAAGTCCTCTTTGAACGTTTGTTTAGGTTAATCCTTTTGTCATATTAATTGTAAGTGGTACAATAAAGACCCCCTAGCCAAGGAACACCTATATGGTCTTAAACAGGAGGACATGGTTGGACTAGCACTATTAGGAGAAGGTAAATGGCATTCATGGATATTTGCCATAGTACAGGGTTTCTCAAATCTGGCCTTACAGAGTTTTGCCCAAACCCTGATCAACTCACCTACCTATAATTTTGAAGACATTGATTATCTTGGTCAGATGTCTTTGATTAGAGTTTGAACTAAACTCTGCAAATTAGTGGGGGATTTGAGGAACCTTGCTATAGTGGAATGTAACGTTCTAGTCAGATGTCTATTTATTTTTTTCCCCAACCCTGTTCATGGTCGCACACCAACAGTACATCTTTTGGACATCTCCCTTATCTGACCCATCCGTTTTAGGTCTTAGAGTCTTAAAAGACAATGTAATCTCTTTAAGAAAAGTTTGAATATGTATGCTATCGGTATGCCTCTCAAACACTGCTCAAGTTTACTGTTTCAATCAAAATTCTATGAAAATCTTGAAAGATTTGTTGTGGTGAACCCTTTCTCAAATCCAGTGATTCATTGTCTTCGGACGCGCAAATTGTAGCAGGACTGATATAAACCGCTGTACACTGACTCCCAGAAGCTGCTTAAAGCAGATGGAGCCTGTCGCTTCGAGAAAGCCCCTGCCACTGTTGTGTGCATTATACATCAGCCAATGCCATCTGAGACTGACAGTATGTAAGCAGTAACACTGACATCAATTCAGTTATGTTGGACTCTTGAATCTTCTCCCACCCTTCTGCTGTCCCATAAACTCTCTTCTGAGAAGCTGGTGGATAGTATCCCTGTCTCTTTATCTCTCCCTTTCTGTCTTGGAGACTCCTGCCTTTAATAGCCCTGTTGATTTAATGTTATCTGACTCTACTACTTCTCCCCTCTTATCCTCATCTCGTTGCCTCTTCTCTCCTGTTCTTCCTCTTTTCTCTGTAATTATTTTTTTTTTCCTGTGTAATGGGCAATGTGCTTGTTTGCATGACAGATTCAGGAATGCCCCCCATGCCCCATTTGGGTATATCTTTTGGTTGTCTATGAATTTGTTTCACGTTGAATTTTAAATCATTTTCGAATTCACACTTTCATTGTTATTGCATTGTTTATCAATGGTTTCAAAACCATTGCCATTGACACGTGTGTCCACTTTTTGAATGGCAGCCAGTCACAAACAGACAGCCACAGCTGGTCTCTACCTGTTGTTAGTTTAGCAGGGTCCCTCTTGCGGAACTTGTCACTGTGTGTGTGATGTGGCAATGTGATTCGGCACATTCCTTCACATCAACTGGAAGAGAACGCAGCATCGAAGTTGTACAAACACACACAACTCTTGCATGCTGTGGCCCTCCAGTTCCCCCTTGTGCTGCCTTCCGTCTGTCACGCGTGGGTCACCTGTGCATAGTGTCTGTTTCAATGTCCCAATCCAAAGGGAATGAGGTGGAATGTTTGTGTCTTCTACATGTGCATTAGTTTCCTGTTGGATCCTGCCATATATATCAATCAGTTGAAACAGTGTATCAGTGAAATCCACCAGATGCTAGTTCTTTGTCAGTTCTTCATCTGTTAAATGTTTCCGAATGTTCCGTCGGCCTACGATTGTGTGGTAAGTTACCAGTACTTGTGTTCTCTTCCAGTGAGACGGGTTCCACCCCGGTTCTCCATTCCCCCAACGGACAATGAAATCATGCCCGGTGGCAGCGTTAACATCACCTGTGTGGCCGTGGGGTCACCAATGCCCTATGTCAAATGGATGCTGGGGTCGGAGGATTTGACCCCTGAAGATGACATGCCCATTGGGCGAAACGTGCTGGAACTCACTGACGTCCGACAGTCGGCCAACTATACGTGCGTCGCTATGTCAACTCTGGGCGTTATAGAGGCAGTCTCACAGATTACGGTCAAAGGTGAGAACTCAAGAGACGATTCGATATTTAACATTCCAATCGGCCCCAAGCTGCTGTTATTTGATCTGTATTATCACATTCTGCAGATGAATACATGAGCTCCTACTGCTGCCACATTTGTTTGCTCAAACATGTTGACATACAGCTGTTTATATCCACACACACAAAGCTGTTGTCTCTAGCAGACACAACAAAACCACATTAGACATAATATGCCCCAGGAGATAGCATGCAAAGACTAAACAGTATCTTTCTTATCGCCAACCTCACCTAATGCACTCTGAATTAAAGCAATAAATTACAGCATGTGGAATATTTAAGACATGTTCTAAACAAACTGCTAAGAGTAACTTCCTCAGGGGGAACTTTGTGTACTCCTTATCACGGAGGTACTGTCAAGACTGTACTAGACAGCTATTTTGCTGTATTACATTAGCGGTAAATGGTGCTGTAATACACGCCCACTGTTTGTGTGTTGGCAGAGCAAGCTGATACTTTAACCTTTGGCCAGTATCCCAGGGGAAAAGCACATGGTCCATGAATGCTGATGATAAAGCTGTACGACACTTATGTTTAGCTTACCAGTACTTTTGCACACACATTTAATGCATTTTCTATAAACCAAGAGAATAATCATTTCACATCTGAATTTTAGTTTTCAAATAGTTTGAATTTTCTTTTTTAGACAATACATGTTTATGTCCTGAATTAACTAAGCTGTTGCAGGCATGTTGTGTGGGTTTTTTCAGTGCAACAACTTGCAATCACAAACCATTTACAATCCAGGCACTAAAAGTGCTGAAATACTACCTTTTGTAAGTAAATTAGGCTCATTATAAAATAAACCTTAGGGATAGACATTAACACTTGTCCAGGATAAGTAGTTTACCTGATTTGCATATTTCCTTCAGTGAATTAGGCACTTAAACGTAGTAGACAGCATCTGCAAATAAACTGCAAATAAAATCAGCGGGCACCATTAAATCTTAGGGAATTCCTCCAATAGTCTCCAATAATCATTAGTAACTAATTGCAGTGGATTTTCCATTTTTTCCAGTAATAGAGATTCACTGATTCAAGTTTCTTTATTGCTGCACCAGCTTTACCGAAGCCGCCAGGTGTTCCCCAGGTAACGGAACGCACGGCAACAAGCATCACGCTCACATGGGATTCTGGAAATCCTGAACCTGTTTCTTATTACATCATCCAGCACAAGCCCAAAAACTCTGAGGACTCTTATAAAGAGATTGATGGAGTCGCCACAACTCGATACAGTGTGGGTGGGCTGAGCCCTTACTCCGACTACCAATTTAGAGTAGTTGCTGTAAACAATATTGGGCGTGGGCCGCCCAGTGAAGCCATTGAGGCCAAAACGGTAGAGCAAGCACCAAGTACCGCCCCACGGCAAGTTAGAGGGCGCATGCTGAGTGCCACCACTGCTGTAATCCACTGGGACGAACCTGAGGAGGCTAACGGGCAGATTACGGGCTACAGGGTTTACTATACCACTGATCCCAGCCAGGACGTCAACCAATGGGAAAAACTGATTGTAAGGACTTCCGACTTTCTCACCATTCCGAGCCTGACGCCCAATAAGACTTATTACATCAAGGTCCTGGCCTTCACCTCTGTAGGAGATGGACCGCTCTCATCTGATTTGCAGATCATAGCTAAAACTGGAGGTGGGTGTTGGGAATTACAGGAATTACAATGAGGATAATGTCCAGTTTGCTTTTTACCTTGATGCATAAAAAGTTTAATTTAATCAAAAACATAAATATGAATAATTATATACAATTTTCTTCTTTTATATCACACTTTGATATATATATATATATATATATATATATATATATATATGAAGAGTTCAGATGCAAAAGTCTCTAAGTGCCATTTGAAATTTTCTTCTAGAATGATCATTTTTATCAAGCTTGTATATTTAAGTTCAGTGATTTCACTTAAATGGCAATGATAATTACCTATTAATTGTTATTTAAGTGAAATTACTGAACTTAAATATAGAAGTTTGATAAAAATCATCATTAAAGAAGAAAATTTCAAATGGCATTTAGAGGCTTTTGCATCTGAACTCTTCATATATATATATATATATATTCTAGAAATTTAACATAAAACATAATCAGAGGTCAATGTGTATTTTTTTGTAAATCAAATGCTTTTATTTTATGTTTTTATTTGTAACTTGGTGGACACAAACCGACAACTTTATAGACACAAGGTGAAAACACTTTATTGATACAAATTCGGTTACACTTTATTGTAGTTACATTGTACTTATTTAAATAAGTATGGAGTAATATGAATTAACTACAAGTACTTACTATAGAGTTACAGTTAGGGTTTGGTTTAGTTTCCAGGGTTATTTTTATAGTGTGTACATATTGTAAAGTGTAACTACAGTACTTGACCTTAAAATAAACTGTTACTAAAACTTGAGTTTAAAACTCAAAACAGACCCTGCATTCTGATTGGATGAGCTGTATTCATACATATAGCCTATTAAAACAATTGAGTCTGTTATGGTACTATAGTTACACACTGTGAACTACCTCAGGTTATTCCAGGAGAACTACGCCTGTAGTGAGATAAATGTCTGCTTATCCCCCTTCATGTATTGTATTCCCACAATACAAACATAAAAATTACTGTAATTACACTTTAAAATGACAACTTTTTTTTAATCATTTCTGTTATTTATTGTAACATTTTATAGTGCCATCTCAACCGACAGACTTCAAAGGTGAAGCCAAATCTGAGACGAGCATCCTGTTGTCATGGAACCCCCCCACTCAGACGGGCCAGGACAATCAAATCATCGGATACGAGCTGCTTTATAAGAAAGGAGATGATAAAGAGGAGGTCTGAATGTCAACAGTCATTGGAAAATGCCTCCCAGAATTTCCATCATTGTTATTGGTTAGGGTGATTATTTGAACTGTATTTTCTAGAGTGTTAACCTTCATTTTGTTGTTCCTTTTCTCAGAAACGTGTTAGCTTTGAACCAACCACCACCTATTTGCTGAAAGATCTAAAGCCATTTACTACATACACATTTCAGCTGGCTGCTCGCAGCAAACACGGCGTTGGCGCGTACACCAACGAAATCTCAGCCGCAACACCTCAGACACGTAGGTCCTCTTCTGTATTTACTGTCTATCCTAAACCCATGCAGTCCAAGAACAGGAGCAGCACTTGCTGAAGCAGAAATCCTCAATTTCTTAACAGCGTTTGCTCATTTAAATCCTGCATTTGTTTGAACAGTGGTTTACACTGAGAGATTTTTGAGAAATGGAGGCATTTCTGCAAACAACTTGTTAGTGCACATCTTGTTTTATTGAAAGCCAACCTGTGGGAAATGTCAAATGACAAGGTCACTTTGTTGAATTTGGTGTTATATAAGTAATCCAAGAAGAAGATGAGAGTGAATTATTCATCTGTTTGGCTACAGTCGTTCAGCTTCAGGGTGCCTTGTTTTTTGACTTTGGCTATAGTATACCACACTGCATTTGAAAGATTTACAGAATTTGGATAGGTTCCTTTTCCTGGAGCCTTGTTGTAAGCTCAAATGCAATTATACATAGCTAGAAAAGAAAATTGCATTCCCAGAAGACCCCATATTTAATATCCATTCATTCAAGTTGAACTGTAACCAAACCTTTAGATCAACCCGTTCATTAATCTTGCATAATTTGATGTATAATTGATGTTGACAAGCTTGACTGTGCTTCACTTCATACTCACAATTTGAGGAAATCTGAATAAATATGAGGTCTTCTGAGAACATGCCAGGTAAGTATATTGGAGGGCTGTTTATCCAGTAGAGTGTTTGCATGTCCAAGTCTAGAAACGTCAGTCATGAACTCTTGGACTATCCAGGCTTTTACCTCAAACCAACAGGCCTCGGAAAGGTTGGTGAGCAATGCATTTACTGTTTGTACAGAGCTGACACATCAACCTTTGAAATTTTGGATTGATGGTAACTGCTTGGAGGAAACAGGGCCCAGTTAAATGCATCTCATTTAGATATTTCACATGTTGGAAAATGCTTTTGAAGTATGATGAGAGAAAATTTAATTTGTGCCCTGAATTTTAGAATATATTTAGGAAAAAATAACATATGTAGAATTACGAAGGTAGGTTATTTGTGTCTACACCAGTCCCACCCACACTATTTGTGATTTTTTTTTTATCTTTTATACCTCCTTTATGAGAAATCTGTGACATGTCTACCCGTTTCTGTTAATCTTTTTAAGCTTCATTTATATTTATTTTCTTGTCATCATTTTTTTTAAATAAATGTAGTCCTTGTGGTCCATCCTCATTTTATGTTCCTTTTTTTGTTTTTGTTTTGTCCATCAACATCATCTACACATCCACCACAAAAACAAAAAAATCCTCTTACCTCAACCCCGTGAACCTCACCTGGATCCAACCAAACTCCAAAACCACTTCAATCCAATTTAATGACTATACTCCTCCCACAATCCTCTGATCCTCCAATCAGAGCCCTCAGCTCCGCCCCAGGAAGTCAAGTGTACTAGTCCCAGTTCTACCAGCATTCTGGTAAGTTGGAAACCACCACCAGTGGAGCTTCAAAATGGAATCATGACCAAATACACCGTCCAGTATGCAGCAATTGAAGGTGACGATACCTCGTTGCAACAAATATCGGACATACCGCCTGAAAAGTACCATTATCTATTGGAAAACTTGGACAAGTGGACAGAATACCGTGTGACAGTCAGCGCCCACACAGAAGCGGGGGAAGGTCCTGAGAGTTTACCTCAGCTAATCCGTACAGAGGAAGATGGTATGTCTTACCCACACGCCACTGTGACCCTGTTCTTAAGTCTCTACCCTTAAAACATACCCCACTTCTGGCAGATTTCTGCCCAAGGCACCCTAAAACCCACTCGCCCCTCTAGTCCCCTGTATTTACACTAACTCTACTAACCAGGATTTTTTGTGACCTTTCACCGAGCCAACATTTATTTTGGGAGAATGTGCGAGATCATTTTTGAGTCTTTTTGCGCGAGCAGACTTGGAAATTTCATGGCATGTTCTTCTGACAAACTTAAACTTTCAACAATGCCAAATGTTTTGCTGTTTTCCCCCATTTTATAAAGATCAATGAAATTTGTGGGTATTTTTTTTAATGGAGTTATACTCGTTTTCATATGAGAAAAGACGCCTAAATCAACTTTGAATCCTCCAAAAATGGGGCTTTTTTTTCTCAAATGTCCTACGCTAATGACATTTTTTCTTAAATTTTTCCATTTACTTTTTCTTTTTGTCTTCACTCTATCATAGCCAAACTCCTTTCGAGTGCTTCAAACCTCTGAAACACTCCTCTTGGCTTTTTTGCTTGTTTTTTTATTCCATATTTTGACTCCACTAACCCCATTTTTCAGAAAAAAAAATTAGGTCAGTTGTATGACCTGTTTTGGGGGATTGTTTTTGTTTTGTTTTTTCCTCTCTATTTTTTTTTTTGACTTCCCATTGTTGAGATATTAGTGTTATCCAGTACCATTTGGTATATTTTTGTCTGCTTCACCACTTTCTCTTGAGAGATGTCCAGTTGGACGGGAAGTGTCCTCTTTAAGCTTGACCTTTTTGTCTTTTATCCCATAATTCTCTCAGTGCCCAGTGGCCCTCCTCGTAAAGTCGAGGTGGAGGCTGTCAACTCCACATCTGTTAAAGTACTGTGGCGGTCGCCGGTGCCGAGCAGACAGCACGGGCAGATCCGTGGGTACCAGGTGCACTATGTGAGGATGGTTAATGGGGAACCCATTGGGCACCCTGTCATCAAGGACATCCTGATCGATGACGCTCAGGTAGGCACCCACTTGCACAGCTGCACCGTTTCTAGTAAATCTTTACAAGCTTTTGGCAATTATTTTGATTTCGGTCTATATTATGTTATGACAATCCCAGAATGCATTTCAATACGGTCACTGAAAAAAAAAGTTTATGAAGTCAATTTACAGAAAAAGTTTTGACAGGGATCATACTGACATCAAGAATCAGCATATGAATCGCAACAATGGTGACAATGAAAAAAAATTCTGAACTACTTATAAGGTCACAAAAAGACTTTGTTAATCGTCACCATTGTTGAGATTCATATGTTAGTTCTTGATGTCTCTATACTCCTAAAAAAATAAACCAACACAACATATTTTCTTTATAATATATATTTTTGAAATATCAGATTGTTATAATACTAATGCCACAATATTTCAAGGGTCATGAATCATAGACTTTGTACAAAATTAAAGTCCTTCTATATATAATGTAATCTCAGTTAATATATTCAGCAGTGGCGGGCCGTGCATTTTACACTTAGGCCTTCTGTCCTACCTGAATTAGTAACTTTTAATAGTGTATCAGCACAAATACTCTCTATAATTGTTGTTTTTATTTTGCACCGGCAGTTATTGGATTAATGCGGTGAGTTCGGGAAAGGCCGCGAGAAACGAGTGCATGAGTTCGGCTGGTGCGTTTGTACAGTGGTTCTTGTGTTCCGAATCCGATTATAAATTCAGAAACGGAGCCTCCCTTATCTTGTCGTTCAAGGGTTATATATAGTCCCTTTTCAGACGTTACAATAGAATGAATGTTTGGGGAAAAAATTACGTTTCGATCATAAATTTATAAGAAAAATTAAGAAGAAAATCATATTCACCACGGGGAAAAAAGCATATTATACTCACCAAGATTATTTTTTACACAAAATCCATCCTTATTTCTTTCCTTAAGAAGACTACAGGTTCTATCTGCGTTTCAGGTCAACAATGTCGAGTCTGTCTCGTCATACAGTTGGTAGACAACCAGAATTTGGTTTTTACCACCTCAGTTTTGCCGCGCCGGTAAAAGTTGAGGTGTATTTGCTGCCTTTGGCCGCTAAGAGGCGCTACAATCACAGACTTTGAAAAGTGTCCTTTTTGTGTGTAACCTTCAGCTGCGCCGCGGCTCTTTCAGAGCGATTGAAAGATGGTAGCAGATTAATTCAAGTGAAACGTAGTTAAAATAATTAATTAATCACAATACTGAAATTAAATTGAAAAAATAATGAAACCTTAAAACATTGCAGTCGAAACATATTAGGCTACATCAATGAGGCTTTACAATCGTATAAGACAACAATGCATTAGCAGTCTAGCCGATAGCTGTGTGGTTAACGCGTCATCCAACGACGCGAGATCGAACCTCGTTACATGCTGTTGGCCGACAGCTTTTATGTTTTAGCCTACTATTCTTGAAGCTTAAATAGATATCTGTTTATTAGCGAGTTTATTAACTGTTTATTTACTTAAAGTGTTCGACATAATTTGCCACTTCTCATTGAAATCTGAGGACGCAGATAAATTCAAGGTTAACACTCTAGCCTGTACTTGGGGACGGGTGCTATAGTATCCAGCTGCAGACCCGCAGCACCACCAGTTTCAGAACCCCAGTTTCAGAACCCCAGCGCCAGAACCGGAAGTGAGGGGCGGCGTTAGATTCTAACCAACACCAGCGCCAGGAACGTAATTGAGGGGCGGAGCTTAGATTTGAAACCTAATAACGCCACCTAACGTAATTTGGAGGGTATTTTACACATGAAACAGCTTTTATTGAACAAGAAACGTCCTACTCTCTACGTATGTTATGATGCTATACATTACTGTACAATAAGCATTTTAAAACATTGATTTTGTGTAAAATAATTGTATACAGTTTCAGTTATTCGTTTCATTGTATTACGAGTTACTTCCTGATCATGATGGTGAAAAAAATAATACTTGATACTTATGGGCATTTTAATGTAGCCTGGTTCAACCAGACTCTTTTTTAATGCACAACAGTTTAATAATTTTAGCTAAGCAGTTTATACATACGTGTAGATTTAGAAAGATAAGACCTTTGTTTTTTGGTTTTTATGAAGGAGTTAACTTTGTATAATAAAGCTTTGAAAGAATCATTGGAGGTTTTCAAAATTATACACAATCTGATAACTCATTAGACCTCTGTCATATTTTATGTTCTATTTATTTATTTATTTTTTTATTGTGTTTACAAAAATCTTAAATTGTTTTGATATTGAAGATGTATTTGTAAGATGATTTTGATTGTTTAATAAAAAATAAATAAAAAAAGCATGGGTATTTTTTATAAAATATACTTTATTTCACAAGAACATGTGCAGCATGCATTTTTCGTGTAAAATAATGTCAAAATCTAAAAAAAGAGAAAATTCGGCATTATTTTGTTAAAAATCTATAAAAAAAAGGACCAATTCAACCCAAGCTAGGCCTGTTTTATCACAACAATTTTGTTTAAATTTAACTTACAATGTATCAAATGAGGAACTCAAGGCCCGGTTTGTCCTTACATGCTTGCTAAAATAATTATAATGCAATAATAATAATTCCGCCCCTCCTTCACTTCCGGTTCTGGCGCTGGGGTTCTGAAACTGGGGTTCTGAAACTGGTGGTGCTGCGGGTCTGCAGCTGGATATATCTCGACGGGTGGGACACGTCCCCACCACTTTTTGCCAGGGTCGATATTGTCCCCACCACTTTTGAAATCTTAGCTAACAGCAATCGTTTCATTCATCTAGCGCTGAAATGTGTTGTCTTCAATCGGACGCACGCTGTAATCCGTTGTGGAGGTTTCATTCGTTCCAGTGAAATCACAATTCAATCCGAGGCGACGTTTTTGCAATCCGTCCCCTCAGTTTATAAACTGTAGGCTACTCACGGATTCTTAAACCGTTCCCTCGGTTTAACAATTCGTGCCCACGGATTAATAAACCATACCCACGAGTTCCTAATCCGTGCTCTCAGATTTGTAAACCGTGCCCTCAGTTTTTGAAATCTGTACCCACAAATTCATAAACCGTGCCCACGCTTTCGCAATCCGTACTCACGGGTTTGTAATCCGGACTCGCGGATTTGTGGCTCGTCCCCGAGAATGTGTCGTATTCAACCAGGCCTCCTGTTTATGCGGGATGCATTGTTTTTAAAACAGGGTATATACAGTAATCCTTAAGTTAAATTTACTACTTTTTAATACCTTTTTTACTACCTTCAATTTTTTTTTAAAACCATAACAACACTGAATTGCAAGTGTTAACCAGCAACCTTTCTATTACACAGATTTTGACATTTATGACATACAAAAATGAATAGATTTAGAGCACGCATTCCATTTTTATGTTTAGTGGATTGCATTTGCGACCGAAGTGCAGCTGACATTGATATTTTTTACACACCAAACAATAGAGGGAATGCATTGACATCACTTTCCCGCCGGTACAACCCCCCTCAACCTGACTGAGTGGCAAAAGATCTGTTGCGTGACTGGATTTAATAGGGGAAACTATTAAACGAAAATGTGACTAAAACTAACAATTTGATCAATTTAAACTAAATGTTGGACTCAATATAGTTGGACTCCTAACAACTTACTAAAGATCCAGTGATCCATGGATATTGACATGCAGCCAGCAATCGTGTCGCCTGACATTTATGTTTGCCTGATTTCAATAAAAGGGAAATAAAAGCAATATATAGACCTACATTGGCTAAAGCAAATTTGCCTGTGAACGCTTTATAAATACAATATAGGTAGGTCTAAATCCGGGTGATCACTTATATCAGGGTTATATAGCCTCAGTATATATCGTCATATCGTCCAGCCACTGAATATGACGTCAGCATCAAACATAGACAGAGATAAAAGATCTTTGATTGTGCCCAGATAAGCTAAAGCCCATATTTATACGGACTAACGCAAACACAAAATAGGACACCTGAATTTTTAAAAAATAATACCTCTCAGACTACATTTAACACTTTTAATGGCCTTAAATTTGACAATTTTGATTTATCACTTTTTAATACTTTTTAAAACCCCGCGGACACCCTGTAAAAGGACTTTACTTACAAAAAAATAAAAAAATAAATATAGCCTAACACAAACACAAAGTTATAGGCCTATAAAAATATAACATTCATAAATTGTTTTATGATTAACATATTCCTGTCTTAAGTGAACTCATTTAAAGTTATAAACGCAAATAATAGGCCTAATAATAATATGCTATTATTATTACATTTAGGCTACATATTTAGATATAAGATGCTTTTATCAAAAAAAAAAAAGAAAAAAAAGAAAAAAAGCAATTCGTCAAATGTCAGTCATAATACACGTTAGACAATAATAAAACAGGGCTGAGATTATCACAAATAGGCCTAAACACAAGATTTTGACGCATAGGCTATCCAAGTGTTTGTGCACAAAAAAATAAATAACATTGACTTTTTGCCTTTATTAAACATTTAAAATATTCGCAAATTAATATGAAAAAAAAAATTGATTTTACTTTCTAAAAACGATATTTTGCCCGCAGTGCTAAATGAGAAGAGCATGTCTCGGGAACCATAGAGAGAGATGATTTATAGGTGATTTATAGGCTAATCATAATAAATGTGTCTGAAAAATAACGACGTTTTCTTGTTATTGTGAGTTTACACAAATAAAAGTAGTTGCAAATAATGTATTATGTATTTTTTCCGTATGACCAGAAATGCTACATTATTTTAAATTGTTCCACTGTTGATAGGAACATGCAAGTGTCTGCGGCCGCGGCAGTGACATGCAGTGCACGCTTCACACAAACAGTTGGATATGCGTTAAAAACCTGTTTGTTAGAATCTTAGCCCATTATTATTGTCTAAGACTGACATATGACGAATTGCTTTGTTCTTTTTTTGTGGATAAAAGCATCTTCTAAATAGGCCTATGTAGCCTAAATGCATTTTTATTTGTTAGATCATTATTATTTGCA